CTTTCACTTGGAAACCCATGCCGAATGTATTTTTTTTTATCATCGTCACTTTATCTATATTATTCTATTCTATTCTAATCTATTTAGGGGAAAGTCTAATTGAACTTACGGAGAATTGATAGGAATTGAATCACCATCTGATCGGACGAATGCACTATACACCCATATAAATTTTTTAAAAAAATCATATATTATGACAATTAGTGAAAGGTAATATTCGAAACATTGGTATCCCCACCAAACATTAAGTACTTGGTGGTGGCCACCAAGGAATTTGGGTGTCATTGCAGAGCTTTATATTTGTTGGGATGTCTTGTCGGGTAATTTGAAATTTGGATCACTGGCGGAATAGTTGGATTGGTTTGAGACCACTTTAGGTGGCTCATTCCAGATTTGGCATTTTATGCTACTTTGCCGCGTATTTTATTGATGGTTCTTTGTATACAGCTCATTCTCAAGACTGCCTGCTGAAGTGATATCACATATCCATCCAGTAAGGAGTTTGGTCTTTTTTTTTTCAACAGCCTGAATCAGACTTTTGTTGTTTTATAAACCTAATCCCAGGAATGACGTTGATAAAATTTAGTGGTGTTTGTCAAATTTGGGTTTATTTGAAGCTAAATCTGCTTATAAATTTGTGATTAAAAAAAAAGAAATTGATTCTGTTTAGTTTTCTAGGGTCTGGTAGCCTGGTTTTCCGCTAAAAAGTTCCTTCTTCATGATTCATGATAGCTGCATGGTTGAGCTCGTTGTTAACTTATTTCATGATATTTTGGTTAAGTTTTCGATGCACAATCCTTTTTTATAGAAAAAATTTAGATGGGTTTGACTCCGATCATATTTATGGATTTGAAATCACAAGTCGTTCACTGAAATTCTTATAAATCGTTTATCAACACGACTCTCGTATTAACAGTGAAATTCAAATATATAATCTTTCATGAAAAAATAATTTCCAACTTCTATTAGCATGCATGCTCCTTTTAGGTCTCATTTGCTTTCAACATAATATAAACACACAGAACAAAATGTAAATTACTTTAAAGAGAATGTAAACATAGAACAAAATTTTGTAATGTCCGCACAAATATAAATCACATAATTTGGACCTCTTTTTTTAGCAAATCCTGACCGTTAATCTTCAAGGACAGTTCATACCTGCAACTATCCCTACCCCTGCTTCAATTACCAATTGGCCATCCTGATCAATTTACGGAGAAGGGAAAAAAAAAAAAAAAAAGATTCTGAAGGACGTACACCATCTCTGGTCAAAAGTAATGCCATATTTTCTTTAAAAGGACAAAAGTATATTGTAGTCAAGATGTTGAAATTCATAATTAGCGTGGTTGTGATGCAAAGACTTCTCGCATACAGCAACTTATTGGATGTAGAAAAACTGAATGATGGTCCAATTTTGTAGGCGGAAGTTTGAATCTAAAGGGCGATGTAGATGGTCCAAACTTGAAACCCAAACAAAATAGAAATCAAAGCACATGGTCCAAACTTCATTTTATTGTGCTGGACCCAATGCAGGTGATTGATGGGGAATTCTTTCGCGGTACTACACTTATTGTGCTGGACCAAATGCAGGTGATTGATTAGGAATTCTTTAGCAGTACTAATTACAACTAGCCCCCAAAAAATTTCTGGAACAATGGGCTACAATGTTCATTTGATCCTTCTAATTACAGGTAAAGAGAAGGTATCGGATAAGTCATCTTTGGATTTTTCTAAAGAGTGCCCAGCCACCTGTATTTTTTTAATCTTTCGTTAAATCTTATTTAATCTTTTGTGTGACTACACCCACTAACCATTATTAGCTTATCTTACATTTATACACTTTTCTTTCTAATTTTAGTTTTTCATAATATTAATGTCTAAACTGTTTTATAAAGTGCCACTGAACACTCATTAGGTAAACCATGGATCTTTTCATTAATTCTTTCTTGCCACTTATGGTTAGGGGTGGCAATTTTCGACACGATACGAACCTAACACGAAATTAATGGGTTTGGGTTGAGATTTCGGGAATTCGGGTCAGAATCGGGTTGAACCCGATAAACCCGAAAAGAAAACAAGTCAATTTCGGGTCAACCCGTGGTGACCTGATATGACCCGATATGACCCGTTTACGAATTAAAAATAATTTAATAAACATAAAAATAATTTTATCTAACTAAACTAAATTATTCTTTTTTTCAAAGGCATTAATTACTTAATCCTAAATGAATTTATTTAATTTGTGTGAAGTTGAAATTATTATATTTGGACAAATAATATATTATTTTATTTTTTATTTTTATACTGTTTTAATTTATTTTATATTTTGTTTGGAATAAAACACTTTTACGGTGTTAATTTATTTTAGATTTGGTTTGGAATTATTTATTTAAATTTTTATTACTTGATTATGTAATTAGTTTTGTAAAAATTAATTTTATTAGAAATTACAGTGATAAATTAATAAATTAAAATTAAGTTTCGGGTCATTTCGGGTCGACCCCGTCAACCCGTCAACCTAAAATTTTCGGAATCGGGTCAGTATACCTAACCCGTCACGGGTTGACGGGTCGGGTTCGGGTCAACAGATTTCCTGACGGGGCGGGTCAGACTCGACCCGCCAATCTGATTTGGACCCGAATTGCCACCCCTACTTATGGTTTCCAATTTCGAGTATTAGACCAACTTTCACTAGAATTCTAGTTATTAAATTGACCCAACTAGGAACCTATAAAGGGATCGGGTGGACGGTTATGGGTTCCATTGTCAAATATGTGGTTAAATCAGAGGCTCACTAAGCTAATATGCATAAATATACTTAATGTTCTTTTTTGAAAAAAAAAAAATCACTGGCAAAGGAAAGGTAAGATTTAAGAAATAGGAAGGGCAAAGGGAGATTTGAACTTAGAACATTTACATCCTAAGGCCTCAACCTTAGCCATTATATACATAATGTTCTAGTAGTCTTAGTATGTGTCAAATTAAAGATGAAGTGCTTTGACATATTAATTTCTATTTTATAAAAAGTTATATTATAAATATCCAAACACGAAATACTCAATTTACTTTTACAAATATACATCTTGTAGTCAAAGATTAACAAAATTATTTAATTTAGTAGTATAACAAGCTTTGGATATAGCTTAAATTTTTTTGTTTTACTTTTGCCTAAAATATATTAGTCCTATAAGTATTAACTATTGTCACATAATAATAACATCTTAAATTTGAAAGCTAATATAATGAAGTGATTAATTATCACCGATCCAACCATTCTACTAATTGTTATTGACTCGTTACGTCATAAATAATTTTTAGGAAAAATTGCACAAATCGTCCCTCACATATTAACGAAGTGAAAATTTAGTCCCTTAGAACGAAAACGAGCATTTTTAGTCTATTACAATAAAAAAAATGATCAAATTTGGTCCCTGTTAGCTTTTCCGTGTGAATTCTTGACTGATCCAGTCATGGGAACATCACGTGACCAACTTTTGAGGGACAAAACGGGCAAGGCACTCAGATCTTGACCAAAATGTAGAGGACCAGTATCTTTCTTTATCACATAACTTCAAATCCCTAAATTTCTTTGAAGTTGCCATGGGAGAAGCACCAAACTGTAGCTGCGGTATACCAGCCATAGTGAAGACTTCGTGGACAGCTGAGAACCTAGAAAAGAAATTCTATGGATGTGCCTATTATGAAGTAAGTCTTTGCTTCAGAATATTTTGTTTCCTTTTTTGGAGAATCTAAGCTCCTAAGTTGAACAAAATGGTTCTCCATGACCAGCATAATAATGGCGGAGGCGGCTGTGCCCTTCAAGTGGCATGAAACAAGCGGCTGTGAGAGGTGCGATAAATTGGTGAGGCACACACGGAGGTTAACAAAGAAGGTGAAAGATTTGGAGATTGATGTGGAGAAAAGAAAACAAAAAGAGCGCAGAATGAATCTTATGCTATTCATGGCCATTGTTACTGTAATCTATCGGTGGCTTTGGAAAGAGTAATTTGGCACTGGTTGCATATGTTTGTCTGGGTTGTGAATTAGGGGTCTCTGGCGTAGTAGCTATTAGGTAATGTAAGGGATCTCTGGTTGCATATGTTTGGCACTAGTTGCATATTACTGGCATAGTATGAAGATAATGCAAGGGATTTAGATAACTAACAAATGTATTGTTAAAGTAGCATTGGAATATAATGCTTTGTTTAGCAATCTACAAATTACTTCAGAGTTTGCAATGTTGCATGTGTTGTCCAAATTGATTACTTTTATTGCTTTATCATCATTATCTTAGACCTTTAGTGATAATTTCCTAATTGTTGTATCTTATAAAGATAGTCCTTTTTATCGATAAATAATTTGTGAACATAAAATCTGGACTTTAGTTTTACAATTACAAAAAATTTTGTCCCTGTGTTAACTTGGTCAATCCCAATTTAGTCATTGCATAAAGCACTTCTAAAGGGCCAGCTTAATAATGTCAAAGGTGTTTTTTAAACACAATTGGTCAGTCGCCAACATTTGAGATCTTATTAATAAAATGCATCGACTAATTATTTGAAACATCTTCCAATCAAACTAAAATAGCACTTTAGACAATGTAATGTTGATAATGTTGATTCAAGCTTTAGTAAAATTGCTCATAGAATTACTCCAGAATTCATTGGAAATCTAAGCATGAACATTTAAAAAGAAGCAATAGATATTTAGATGAGAATGGAGGTTCCTTGCATTTGTCCATGTCTTTCATAAAATACAAGTCAAAAGTTGAACATAGTCTCCTGAGATCAATTTCCAACAAAACTGAACCAAAAACCAAGTCACATAATTCCCAACAAAACTGAACCAGCAAAACAGGTCCCAATAAAAGACAGCAAAAACTGAACCAACAAAACAGGTCACATAATTACCCAACAAAACTGAAGCAGCAAAACAGGTTCTTTATAAAATGCCGGAAAAACTAAACCAGCAAAACAAGGCACGTAGTTACCTAACAATTACTTCCCATCAATCCATGTCTTTCATAAAATACAAGTCAAAAGTTGAACATAGTTTCCTGAGATCATTCCATTGCTGTAATAACAAAAACTAAACCAGCAAAACAGGACATAATTGTTCCCAAAAACTAAAAAGTACCCACTATGCAGTAATTGTTCCCAAAAACAGGATATAATTCCATCACATAATTGTTCCCAAAAACTTAAAAGTGAACGACACAAAAGGACTTCTTGAGCTCTGATTATGCAGCAATAGCTTTATTTGTAGCAGAATCATTCAAGCCATTTGCTGCAGTAGTGGTCTTTGTTGTAGTAGCAGCTTTTGCATTCTTATGTCTCTGAACATAAAAAATGAAAAATCAACAATGAGAAAAAGACTACCGGATGCAATAAAAAATGTGAAACTTAATGGTTAGGCAACAAATAGAACATATAGCCAAACCACGTGGTTCATAAGTGACCCTTCTATAAAGAACAGCCAGTGTAGAGTCACAATTACTTCAAGTGTGTCCGAATTTTTTACATACCCCACATCTGTACTTCACTTTCTTACCCTAACCATGATCAAGAAGTAAGGAAAACGCAACTAACATTAGTTAATAACCCAATAAATCTACAAACTGAATTGGTACAAAGAGAAAGAGTGTTAACTGGAGAGGGGCCAGTCTCGGTTCTGGGTGGTTGAGTAGATGGCTGACTCCTTGCTGGTTGACGAGGTATTTGATCAGTCAAGCAGGCACTTGTTCCACCTATTGGTTCAGTTGTGAAACAAGTACTTGCTCGGGGGGTACCAACAATAGAAAATTGAGGCTGGTATACACTTTCTTCTTGTTGTGGCTGAAGCTCTTCATTTCGTGGACCACTTGCTGTCTCATATGTGTTTGCAGCATCTCTTTGTTGTGTAGCTTCCTGCTCATGTGGATTAACAGTGACATGGTGTGTACTTTCTACTGCTCTTCTATTGCTATTTGCTGCATCTGCATTTTCTGGACACTTTCTGCTATTGTGGCCTAATTTTTTGCACTTTCGGCATTTATACTCCATCAACCCAGCTCTAGACAGCTTTTTAAGTTGCCCTCGACTACTTGTTGAAGCTGGGGGCTCATCAGGCTCTCTTCTTCGAACTTTCTTTGGCCTACCTGGAAGCTTGATATGCTCAGGGGGTAGTACAGGCCCCTTTTTCAGATCTTTCTATAGGTGCTCACCATTAAGAGGATATATGATAAGCTCATACGCCCTCATATATGCCTCCTTAGAGTAATATTCATGCACAAAACTATCTGGAGGTTCCTTTGTCAATGCAATAGCACTCATTGCATGGGAGCAAGGAATGCCATTAAGTTCCCACCTCCTACAACTACATGTCCTACTAGCCAAGTTAACAGAGTATCTATCCCCGTACATGCACCTCACCTCATAAAACCAGTCACTCGATGGTGTAGCTATACAACCACTTGCTGCATTTTTTACTTTTTCAAGTTTCTTTAAAATTTTTGGGCACACACTTTCACTATACTTTCTCATCCACTCCCTCTTGGTCTCCATTCTAGTCATTAAATATAGCCTAATAGTTTCTAACATGTCAAGTATGGGCCTCTCTCGTGTTTCTAAAATGCTAGAATTAAAACTCTCGCAGAGGTTATTTAACAAGATGTCACACTTAGGAGAAGTACGGAAGTATGCTCTTGACCAATGTTGAAGTGTTGTATTATCAACTAACCATTTAAAGGCCCTTTCATCGAATTCCCTTAAAGCCTCCATCAATGCAACAAATAGATTCTTGTAGGGTGCTCTTGCAAGTGACCAAATTCTATCCTTCAGTGCCAATCCACTATGCTGTTTCTTGAAATTGTTGTATATGTGTCGTACACACATTCTATGCTCCACATCTGGAAGAATCTCGTGTAAAGCTTGGATCAGCCCCTTCAAGAATAAAACATAACAAATATATTAAAAGACAGCTTTGCATTAAAAATGGACAAAACATATTGCAAAACCAAAATCAGCTTAGTAGTTCACCTTCTGCTTATTAGTCATAAAGGTCCATTTGTCCTCATCCTTTATGTCAAGGTCAGTCACCAATTCAGTTAAAAACCACTTCCAAGTAAGCTTATTTTCAACTTCAACCACAGCAAATGCAATAGGATATAGCTGATCATTTGGGTCAATCCCACTGCTGCAAGTATAACACCTTTATGGGCATCTCTTAAATGACAACCATCTAATCCAATAATAGGCCTACAACCAGCTAGAAAACCTTTCTTGCATGCTGAAAGACACATGTATAATCTCTCAAATCTATCCTTTCCCTCATCATCTTCAGTTACAGTCATGAACACATTTGATCCGGGGTTTGCCCTTTTGACCTCTCTACAGTAGTTCCACAGCTTATTATACTGATCTACATAATCTCCTTCAATCAATTTCTCTGCCTTTTTCTTTGTCCTATATGCTTGCCATCTAGAGATGTTAACATTCATCTCATTTTTTACCTTATCTTTCAGATTACTTACCTTCATATCAAGAATAAGGGAGAGCTCCTTTTGGTATCTCTCAACTAGAAATGTAGAGTTTGCAAGTCCATGATCGAAGGTTCTCCTACATGTGTGTTCAACTCGCATGCTTTTCACTTGAAATGTCATTTTGTCAAGCATAATTGCAATGGAAACTTTCCAATTGCAGTCATTGCAATATGCTATAACTCTCCTGGCATCATTTTTGCTGAAATTCATTTTTCTTCCATGAGCCACCCCATGGCTCTTATATGCCTTGATGAATAGGTTTTTTGAAGTAAATGTCTGACCAACCTGAAATTTGGGGTCTTGCATGTCCGTATTAGGATTGAACCTTGGATATTTGACCATCTTCCTTGGCTGCATTTTCTCTTCTTCTGAATTGCAGGCACTATCAAAATCTTCTGATTCAGTAGCATCTTCATCAAATTCAGCTCCCACCATTTCAGGTTGACTACTTGTCGCCTTAGTAGATCCACTATTCCTCACAACTTTATCCCACTCAGCTTTTCTTTGTCTGACTTGTTGCACTATGTGCTCCTCATCACTAAATTGATAATCACTATCAATAAACCCATCATCTTCACTTGATTCCTCCTTATTTTGAGCACATGTGTTCTTGTTGCTTCTCTTCTTTGTCCCTTGCTTCCTAGTTGCTGCTTTGGTTGGTGTTCTTTTACTTGCTGTTTTGATTGGTGCTCTTTTACTTGCTGTTTTGGTTGGTATTTTTTTGCTTGCCACTGTCACCTTCGCTGTTTTTTCCTTTCTTGAATTGCCAGATGAAGCTATATTCTCCCCTCCTAATTCAGCTCCACTTTCATGTTCACATATCCCTTTATTTTGCAGGTCCAAGTTTGTTTCCGCTGTTTCTTCAGTACAACACAAGTTTTCTAGACCTGGATCTGCTGCATTCTTGTGCCCATCAACTCCAAAATCAGTAGTATCTCTGTCAACAACTTCACTCTCAGCTTGAGTTTGACTAGTTGGAATATTTGTCAACATTATTTCTTCTACACTAGGAGACCCTTGCTGGTTTTTTGCAACGTCATCCGTACTTCACTTATACGAATCAGGTTCACAACCACTAATGGAGTACAGCTTAAGGTGCACAACAAATACATCAACCATCCCATATTTTACTCCATTTCTGGCCAAATCTTGAGCAACATCTTCACACAGAACATAAATTAACCCATCTTCCATCGTCATCCCCGGCCTTAAGTAATACTAACTCGTAGTAAACTCAGGAAAACCTAAGTTTTCTGCTATCCTATGTAAAGTACAAATTGGCCACATATCTGGATTACAATAGTCAACAATCTTGACTTGCCCCCCAACATATTTTTTGGTTGGCAAATCAGTGAATTCGCCTCCATAGTGGACCCTAATTGAAAATAGATTATTATTACCTGCCAACCATTCAGGCGACAATCATCATCCAACAAAATAAAGAAAAGGACCCAACACAGAAAAAGGACACAACCAACATAGAAAAGGATCCAAAAATGACAACACACATGAGGGACCACAGCTACTAGCATGTATAAAAACCATTTCAGCAACCCTAATAAACATATAATAACACTTCTTACATGCGCTAATCATGATTATTATTACTTTATTCACTGTATTAAAACATATTTTTCAATCGATTAACAAACACCGTATCTTAGGGTTCAGAGATACTTACCATAATTCGGGATTTGATGGTCGTCCGCTCCACTCATTATCACGTATATTTTCTTCGATTACTGATTTGCTTCATCACCTTTGTTTGCTACTGGATTTGCGATTGGATTTGGTTTCGATTGGAAGCATTTGGTTTATCTTTGGTCCCTCACTTTTTTGTTTCTAATCCGTATGCTTTGAAGGAAGAAAGATACTGGTCCTCTATATTTTGGTTAAGATGTGAGTGACTTGCCCGTTTTGTCCCTCAAAAGTTGGTCACGCGATGTTCCCATGACTGGGTCCGTCAAGAATTCACATGGAAAAGCTATCAGGGACCAAAATTGATCATTTTTTTATTGTAATAGACTAAAAATGCTCGTTTTCGTTCTGAGGAACTAAAATTTCACATCGTTAATATGTGAGGGACGATTTATGCAATTTTTCCTAATTTTTATAGTTAGAATAATTACATATAACCAAGATTTCATGAGACGATTGAGTAATTCTAATATTTAATGCTACAAGTAAATTTATCATGTCAATAGAAACATACGGTATTTCGAATCCATAAGTCGAAGCTGAAGAGTAATTTGCATTGAAAAAGAAAAAAGAATTGAAGAGTATTTAACTAAAATTCATTAAAAGTTATAAATGTTAATATGCTAGTGACATTTTATTAAGAACATATTGATATCAGTATTAATTATTATGCTTTTATCTTTAGCTACTTAGTGAGCATGAGTTTTATTTATTTATTTATTTTTTTAGGGAGCACGAGTTTTAATTATATAAAGGAATTCGGTGGCAAGTTTAAAATGAAGAAAAGAAGGAAGAAACAAAGAAAAGGGAATCTAAAATGAAGTACAAGGGAAAAGACTAAAAACAATAGGCAAAGGCATGAATGCTGCAGACCATAACATGGCAAATCACGGTCCCCGGCCATTTATTTGCAGCTTGAGTATGGACCGTAATCAAAGTCAACCACCTTTTGTTAGTCAAAAATGGTGTGCTGCTGCAAGAGACCAATGCATCTTTAGATCCTGGCGGTTCTTCAACAATCGTTCCGGTTTAATGATTTAGTTGCTCAATTACCCAATTCTTTTGCTTTCCATAAAAAATACCAGCAGGTTTTTGCACTTAAGGGTTTTAGGCCTCAACCAGCCTGAAAATTTTTTAGGTTAACGGTTTTTTCGATCTTATCAAACAGTCCGGCTTGGGTTTTAAAACATTAAATTTATAACCTTGCAGCATTATTTAAGTAGAGTTATTTTTATTGGATGAATTAAAATGAGAAAGTGTCTAAAATATGGGATGGAAAAGGACCAAGAGGGACACTAGTAAGTACATGTAGTATAAAAAGAAGAGTCTGTGTTTAGTACTCTCTTTTAGGACAGTAATTAGAAAAATCCCACATTGTACACTTAAGAAAATGAAAAAGTTAATGATATTTTTTTATGGAGAAGACTTTGTAAGATCTTAAAATAGTATCCAAATGTAATTTATAATATCAAAATATCAAAAAGAAAGTTCGAAGGAAGTTCCAATATGAAATGAGAGAATATAAAAAGAAAAAGAAAAAGAAAAAGAAAAAGGTGTGAAGACGAGCCAATGATAGAGAGATGGGAGAATTTGGGAGGGATTTAAGGGCCCAGATATTCCAGAAACTAAGCAAAGCGATTCCCTTGGATTGGGTGGGAGCCGAACCCATGTGATGACCCAAATCCAGAAATTGGGTGAGCGTCGGATCTATTCCAGTGAAGATCTAGACATGACGAAGCATACTGTTTTTTGGTAATCATTAGTAATGATTTTGTTGATTAAGGTGGATCTGATCCAATGATTCTCTACATACAAGTAGTAGTAGTAATTTAGGTTTTGTAGGCATTATATTATCAGAATCAAATATAGGAGCAGTACCAAAAATGGTGGATTGGATGGAGAGTGAAGAGTAGATTCTCTTTTCTTTTTTTTTTTTTTTTTTTAATTCATTTCTATCCTTCGTCCATGGAAGAAAAAGAGCATGTTCATAGTTAGCAAGACCATTCCAGCAAAATCCAAAATCAAATTACAAGATAACATGATACATGTAAAAACTGGAGGACTAATGGATGTATGATTTGATGTATCACTCATACTCGAAAGTTACGAAAAACTTTATTGCAGTGTATCCATATTATTTTTGCAGTTTATAGGTTCAGCAAGGCCAAAATTTCCACTACCAAGGAATTCATGGCTTCTCCCAACACTCATTTTCCACCATAACAAAAGTCATTTTGATGGCCGCTTAGGATAATCCTTTGATTCCTGCTTTGAACTTGGCATGGCTATAGCTGTGTAGAAGAAAGTAAGAGAGAAGCTTTTACTACTATCTCTTTTGCGAAAGGAAGCCTCTTCTTCAATGCAAGAAAGATTGTG